GGAGTGGTCACTGGCACGAGATCGGGGCGACGTTTGTTTCCCGAAGTGTTCCCTGCGCGCTCTGCGGAGCCCCGTCGCTCCCTGGGTTCTTTCTGCGGGCGCGGAGCCCTGACGATTTCTGTCGCCGTCCTTTTCTAGCAGTGCCTCGTGGTGGTTTTCTCCTCTTTTCGACGCGCCTGTCTGAAGCTCTCCTCTCTGACCGACGTCCCCGAGACTCGCCTGCAGCAGCACACAGCCGCTACCGTGGGGAAGCCCTTGCTCAGCCCTCACCTTTACACCCAAGTCTTCGTTTTTTGGAAGCCGTGCGGCTGTCGCCCTTTTGTTGCTGCCTCCTGATCAGCTGCGTTATAAGCGTCGTTGTGGAGCATGGCAGGATTCCTCGTGGATACGCAAATTAGTGAAGTGCTTATATACGTGTACATAACGGAAGTTACTTTAAATGTAAATCTGCGTAGTAGTGGGCCGTTAAGCTGATTTTGAAGATTTTTCCCTTTCAGACTGTGCGCTGTTGCTCTGCACAGCTGTGAAAGGGCCCCAGCTCCTCATCTCCGTGCACTGCAGCCGTCGGCTGTGGTGAGCTCCGTCTCTCTGGTAGGGAAGCTCAGCACCGCGTTTCACTTCTTCGTGACCTCAGCTCTTTCTGTTCTTCAAAACCTTGTTTCTTTCTAGAGACGTTTAGGCCCATTTAATACTAAATTTGATTAGAAACTCTTTAAAGCCTCCTCCTGGCACATTATTTTTTGATTGGTTCCCGTTTTCCGTTCTACGATGGTTTATTGCTCGGCGCTGAACTGTCAGAACGCCACCAGCGGGGTCTACAAGAACAGTACCGTTACCTTCTACGGCTTTCCTTTGCAAAACAAACCTCTCTTGAAGCAGTGGATTCACAACATGGGCCGGGACATGGGAACGCCATCCAAGCATCAGCGGCTGTGTTCGAAGCATTTTGAGGAGAGTGCTTTTGAAATCGACCCCTTAAAAATTAGAAAAAACAGACGTCTGCTGAAAGAAGCGGTTCCCAAGAAGTTCATTTTGGGTGAAGACGGAAACTGGCTCGTTGGCACACCCCGAAGCTTCTGTGGTGGGATCAGTAACAAAACTCGGAAACGAATCCGGAGTCCTGAGCACTCGAGGGTAATGGAGATGTTTGCTGTCATGTTTACTTCCCTTAAATTAACAGAAATTAACAGAAGATTTGCACGTATAGCACTTTGGGGAAGCGGCAGTCCGTGAAACGTGCTGTGTGGCAGTAGAATGCTGCCAGCGACGCAGCGGGTTTCGTTTTTCTCCCTGATATTGCAGAGCGTGGAGGTGACACCCAGAGATCGGTGACTGGGGAAATGAAAGGCATCATGGTGCTCGCTGTGCTCAAATTCTGATTTTGTGCCGACGTGTTATGGAGGAGATCGGCTCTTTGTTGGAAAAGCAGTCCCGCTTCGTGCCGTAAAATGGATTCGCTCCCTGCAGACCTGTGTTTGTACACGGCAGTCCTCAGGCTTGGAAAAATTTCCTTCAGAGTCATAGAGGTGGTTTGTCGGTGGCGCAGCGCCCACGGCATCAGCGTTTTGGGCCCAGACAAAAGCTTCGCTTCTGCTCAGCCTTCTCCCCCCGTGTATTTAATTTGTTTTGATCCCATCCAGCGACAAATTAATGAAACTTAATTATTTCTCTTGGCAGCAGATTTGTGCTATTGAGTTTATACGCAAGCTGCAAAACACCCGAAGCGGTGAGATGAGCGTTAGGTTGAGAGGCAAATTAAAACGCGTTGAAAGGCAAGCACGTACAAACCTTACGCTATAAGGTGCAGACACGAAGTACGTACGCAGTGTGTACGTATGCATTGCAGAAAATGCAGGATTCAGCTCTTGGTAGTCATGGGGCTTAATTTTTCGTTTGTGCTAACTTTTGTTGTTAGGGAAGGACTCTCACAGCCAGATCTGACAGACTGCGGCACTGCCTCGGGGCTTATTTAAAATACGCTCAGGAGCGTGTTCTGGTTTTCGGTGAAAGGAAGAGCCGGATTCCCTGATGGGGCTGGGGACGGGTGGTGAGGACAGATTTCTTTTACCACTCGAATTTCTGACCCAGTTGTTCTAGAAAGTCATTGTTTCAGTTGAGTCACATTATTTTTAAGTGATTTTACTCATTCTGAGCTATGTGCAGATATGACAGTAGAAGATTCCTACGGAAAGTCCTGAACTAGCGTGCTGGTTACACGTAGCGCGGGCATTGCCAGAAACAGTTGGCTGGCGACCGCTTGCTCGAAACTGTTTGAAAAAGAGGGCTTTCGAGGACGCGTGACTCGCCAGTGGCATTGACTATTGAACGCTTTGTTTTAGGTCCCTGGGACATCTGATAATGCTGCAGCGCGTGAGGGGAAGGACTTGGAGGGTCGGCAGAAAGAACTCTACAGGAAAGTGATAAATCAGAATTATGAATCTTTAACCACGTTGGGTAAAGGTTAGTTCTCCCTTTCTCGCTGAAGGCTAGCAGATCGGTGCTGACTGTCTAACAGCTGCTCCTCAAATCCCTTGATTTCTGGTGGATTAATCTTTAAATACTTCTGAATCTTTGCGATAGCAGATAAGCTCCACAGCCTTTTCTGTAAAGGCTGAAGGACAGCCACTTTTCTAACACCTCCATGAGCGCCGCCTCCCTGCGCTTGGCGGATGTTGGGCGCTCAGTCTGTGCAGGCAGGCAATACCTCGTCTGCACGGTGCGAGTGGAATAACGGAGAGCGAAACGGTCTCCCCTATTAGAAGGGTTTGGGGTTTGGTAATGTAATGCACGTGCTAACCATGAAACGAGGCACAAAGGAGAGTGGAAAAGGTTTAGATACCCGCGTGAAGGAGCCGCAGTGACAGACGGTATCGTGAATCCTGTGGACCTGTTAATTTTAATTAAGTTGTGAGTATTTTCCTCATCCCCACATCCCGAGGTATATTGGGTTATGTGATTCACTAAAGAGTGTTGAACTATTTTCATAGAATCATGGTGTGGGTTGGGTAGGAAGGGCCCTTTAGAGGCCACCCAGTCCAACCCACTGCCATGAGCAGGGACATCTTCAACTGGTTCAGGCTGCTCCGAGCCCCATCCAACCTGGCATGGAATGTTTCCAGGGATGGGGCATCTCCCACCTCGCTGGGCAACCTGGGCCAGGGCCTCACCACCCTCTGTGTGAAAAATTTCTTCCTTATATCCAGTCTAAATCCACCATCTTTCAGTTTAAAACCGTTCCCCCTCATCCTATCACAGCAGGCCTTGCTAAAAAGATTGTCCCCATATAAAAAGATTGTCCCTGTATAAAAAGTGTCCCCATTTTGATGCAGAAATAGTTACATAACATGAATGATGCCTCAGAAAACGAAGAAGTCTTATTGGTTATTTTTAAGTGCCCAACTATAGATCTGTTTTACGTCACTGTTTTTGCAAAGGTGAAGGTGTGAGCCCTCACTGGCTCCTCAGCGTTCAGGTAATTGCTTGGATTAGCAGAAGAAGAACCTGCTGTAATTAGAGGCTAAAAGTGCCTTTACTTGTCCTCGGGACCGGCGGAACAGAAGTGCCGTGAGCCCCAGGAGCTTCAGCTGTCACCTACTCTCGTTTGCGCTTTGATTTTTCTTGATCTTCCACTCTGCTGAAGCAACGCTGATTTAGCCTAACCTCATTCTGTTGCTGCTCCTGCGCTTTCAGATTTGAGATCGCGGGAAATAATGAGACAATGCAATTCCACTTCTTTTTTTTTTTTAATTCTTTACATACCTTCTGTTTTTTACGGTAGAGGAGCTAGAGTCTGCAGACAGCTGCCTCTATTATTTTTTTTTTTTTTTTTACAGCTCTGATCTGTTGGCAAAGGATGTGCTGCGCG